GACCAGCCCTTCTGGCACCAACAACCATGCCACGTTCAAAGGCACTCAAATCACCTTTCTTCCCCATACTGATGCTCGGTTTGAACTGCAGGAGATTGTCCTGACCATGTCTACATGCCTAAATGCACTGAGTTGCCGCCATGTGATTGGCTGATTAGAAATTARGTGTTAACGAGCAGTTGGACAGGTGTATCTAATAAAGTGGCTGGTGAGTGTACTTCCTGGTTTTTGGCCAGGGTGGTTTCCTTGTCAGCCCGGTGGCAGTAAAACCTCACTTGGTTCCAGAATTCTGGTGTTGTTTGGTTTTATTCCTTCTACAAATCATTTTATTTAACAGTGGTGGTTTTCATATTGACTTCAGTCTTTGAATACGTATTTTCTTACAACGGTATATATCGCGGTATAAAATTATCATAAAAAGTAAAGATAATGTAATTTTTAGAGCATTTATTTTGCAGAAAACTGTAATCTTAATCAAACCCACAGGGTTCGACAAAATTTTTTTTTCTTTACCTGCCCTGTCAGGCAGGTGACATTTTTTTTTTTCACCTGCCCGACATGAAAAGTTACCTGCTTGAAACAAATGCATTCAAAATTTGATAAAATATAAGAAAAACCTGTACTGCATTTGTACTACAAAAATATTAACACGGTTATACAGAGGTACATAATACATGACATCTGATTTAGCAGATGCAAACATTGCAGACTGATTCAAACAGTCAGTCAACTGTTTTATCAAAAACATCTTCAAAAACCTTTTTTGTTTTAGACCTTTCCAGTGTTTCCCCTACAGTATTGGCCTTGGGAAGGATGCTTATAAAAACAGAACAATCAACAGCAGCAGCTTTGTTTTAAATACAATTTACAGAGCATGAAAAAGTCTGAAATTTGCTTTAATTAAATCTTATTTAGTGAATCTCATATCTAAAGATATATTTAAGATATCTTGAACTGGAGTCTCCATACAACTTAATGATAAATCTGACGTTATTTATACAAGTCAGAATATAATAGAATATAATTAGAGATATCTTAAATAGGTATTTTGAATTGTCAAAATATATTAAGAGATGTCTATTTGTTTGTTTCTTTCATTTATAAAAACAAAACAATCTATATACAGCATTAACAAAAGTAAATTCTACCCTGAATTAAAACTTCAACAAACAAACAAGCTCCAGCTGGAAAGATCTCCAAGTTTAAAAAATAAGTAAATAAAACAAAATAAAATAATAAAAGAAAACGTTTGTATTATTTTATCCTAAATAACTAAAATGTCTAACCTCGTCATAAACTGGAATGTAAAAGTGCTGAAGCAAAATAAATGCAACATTGGCCTGCTATACAGTGAGCCTGTTGAACTGACCCCCTGCTGCGCTGCGCTCAGAGCACAAGCCGACATTAACAAGATGGATTTATGACTGAACTAGTTCTGTACAAAACGATTATTTTCTAATCGATTAATCTAACGATTATTTTTTTGATTAATCAATTATTCTAACAACAAATCTATAAGTTATTCTGATGTGAGTGCACTGGAT